TCTTCATCCTCATCTTTTTCTTCATGTTTATCTTTATTTTTGCATATTCCTCTTCATCTTTACCTTATAGTGTTTAGATTTACTTTGATCTTCGTTTTTGCCTGTACCTCTAGGCATCTTTGTTTTTGTTTTTATTCTCAAACCGCTAAACCGCTGAGAACCATTTCCATGTGCATTATTCCCCTTGAATTCGACAATTTACTCCCAACCAACCAACTGCCGCTAAAGAAGTTTCACTTCATAAATTCAAGAAATGTTCTTACCCTTTCAGTTACCCTAATTCTTATGTATCTGTCATTGTCTCCATTTTCGTCTTTATCTTCACTTTTGCCTTCTTTTTTTTGACTTCATCGTTATCATTTATTTCTTCATCTTTCTTTTCATTTCTTTTTCCTTTATCTTTATTTCAAAGCTTAATTTCAAATGCAAAGTGAAACAACATGCGAAACATGTCAAATTGAACATGTTGCAGCAACATCTATACACAATTCGAAAATGTTTAAACGACGGCTTTGGCCGTAATTTTCAACCAATTGCGGAACCATAAAAACTCTGCTCATCTACGTAAAAATGCCTTTCCAACGGTGTTCTTGGCTTTGAAATCGGTTCGGTAGAATCGCCAAACGAACGGAGACAAAATTTATGTTAGCGTATTAATATATAGATATAACAAACGCATTTATTTTCCATTTAGCATGCAGATGTGCTCGAAATGTTAGCTTAAAAATTATTAAAATTCAACGCGACCTCTTAGCCACTTGAAAATTGCACTTTATTATACAAAAATTAAATGATCTATAAAACTGCATACCTAGCATTTTTCTATAAACTAAATTTTTTTTAATTTTGGTGAAAATTTTTTATGACATTTGATATTTTTGTTTTCTTTGGCGGTAACCGTACATTTGTTTTCAACTAGTTTTTATTATGTAACATTTATTAACTGGGAGAGGAGGACAAATTTTCTTCAAAATAGCTACATTTTCAGCACTTTGCACTAAAAAATTTAATATAAACAAACAAAAATTCAAAAAGCGGGCTCACTTATTTTATTAGCTTTCATTAAAAAAAGAAATTAACAAATTGAGTGAAAAATGAAGGCTCCAGTGAATTGTGAACACTAAATTCCNAAACAAATTAAGTGAAAAATGAAGGCTCCAGTGAATTGTGAACACTAAATTCCACTTTGAACACTTTGAGCGCCCTACGGCTGCTCTATTTATGGCCTCCTGCTTCCAAGGTGTCTAAGTCTTAATCTTAATGTAAAAACTTTTGATTGAAGTTTTAATTAACTTTATTTGGAATTTTTTCTACTAACTAACGTGGTTTCATAAAATTACTGAAACAAAATTTGTTTGGCTTTATGATCTCGCATACTACATACGCAACTGAATATGTAAGTCTGATAATTGCTACTAAAATAATTAAGTATCTAGAATAATAATGAAATAATTCCGCAAGGTACTACTTTCTAAAGCTTTTAATTATTATTTGTCTTCGATGCCAATTTGAATGTCCCTTTCTTTAGGATCGGGAGTTGGGAGCCCTGATGTTGTGACAGTCATGACTACACTCTCTTTCGTAGCAGTGACTGACCTCGCTGGGGCAACTGGTGATGACAACCTTTTCTCTGGATCTGCTTGAGCGATGCACTCATCACTTCCCGTTGTACTGATTGTTATTATTGGTATATTATCGGACCATACTGAAGTTTGTGAGTCCTGACGTGCAGCTTGTGTACGTCCAATGGGCTTACGTCGCTCTGTCGCGTTGTTATGTGTTAATTTTATGGCCCCAGGCTTGTCCAGGTCTTCTGGATCATACAGATCGACAGGTTTTGTTGTAATCGCACTTGGGATTTCTAATGGATGATTAGGTTCTGTATCTTTCGGTATTGCAGCGATCTCAGGAATCGTGGTAGGGAATTGGGGTTTGGGTGTGGTTTCAACCTCAGGCGATGGTGGTATCTCGATTGCGATAGTGCCAGTGTTGTTATCGTTTGCTGAGGCAAGTGTTGTCTGTGTTGTTGGTGTAATTGGCTCAGCGCTGCTGCAAGGCGATAGCTCGACATCGTTCCATTTGGTGTTAACTGTGTCGCGGACTAGTGCAAAAAGTGTGCCGATTTTCTTGCGACTTTGACGCGAAAGATTGAAAAGCTTTTCTGAGTTCACAAACGTTGGTGTTGCTAGACCATCACTGAACCGGGCTGGCGCTGGTGTCGTTGCACTGCTGGGTGGATCACTTCCTGGTTTATCGAGCTTGTCGTTATTTGTGCTTCCAACTGATTTCTCATCAAATTTAAAAACACTGCCTTCTGTTGGTTTGTACTTTTGGCGACGTATTTTAAAAGTACCGCCACGTACACTGAATGATCTATGCTTTGGAAGTGGTCTATCTTTTTCGCAGTTGTTTTCCCATTGTTTCTCATCTATAATTTCGAAGTTACTATTTTTCACCTCATCGATTGATGGTGGGATTAGGGAAGTACTTTGATTATCTGGCATCAAAGGCGATGGAGTGTTGTCGCTATCTGCTGGTCGATCTTCTTCGCCTCTTTTACGCAATAAGCTTTGTCTGCGTTCATTTACAATGCGAGTGTTGGTGTCGGGATCGTTATCGGTATCTAATTGTTGCGTTGGCGCATTGCAATTTTGGCCTGTTTTTTTTTTAGCTTGGGTTTTCTTGCTATCAGCATTAAGCTTAAATGTTCCATTATCCTTGTCATATAAAATGCGCTTATCAAATGCTGCATCACCATTTTCATCATTAATGAAATCTTTGTTTCTTCCCTTTCCATTATTTTCTTCCTCCGCTTTCTCCACCCTTCGTCTATTTCTTTCGTCTTTGGCCGCTTCTTTTCTTTTATCGATATTTTTTCCATTCTCTGCCTTATTTGTTTTTGGTTGATCTTCATATTCTCCTTTCTCTACATCTCTTTCCTTGTTTTTCTCTTTATCTTTATCTTTCTTACATTTACTTCTCTCTTTCACTGACAATGAAGCTCGTTGCTCTCGCTCCCTCTCGCTCTTGGCAATTTGTACGATGTCTATAAGGGAAGGCTTGCGCGTTCGTCTTATTTGTTGCAATTTCGTCAAACCTAAATTCTTGTCTCCTCCATCTTCGTCATGTGGCAGGGAATCGTGGTGTTCAGTATCAGTATCATCATCTTCCCTGCCATGTCTATTAACGGAATCATCATCCGAGGTAGCCGAACCCTTTCGCAGAGCCTCTTTCATGATACGTGAAATCAGTTCTGAAGTAATAACAGTAAAAATATAAAAAATATGGCACCAATCAGCAATCCATTGACATACCTTTCCTTGCCTGATTTTTGTATTCTTCACTCTCAAAATCTGGGGGTGGTGTTGGTGTGACCGGGGATGAAGCCTCAAGAACTTTGCGCCATCTGCTGGTCAGTGCTGCTGCGCTATTCTCAGTCGGTTTCATTTCAGGTACCTTGAAGATTTTTTTTCGCTCTTCTTCACGCTCCTTTTGAAGCTGTGTTCTCAAATCTTGATTAGCCTCCCGCAACGCGCCCGTCAATGAGACCAGGTAATAGATGATCAGGATTAGTAGAAGCAGCAGCGGTATAACAGTACTTGCTGAAGTCAAATAACTCAAAGGTCTATGAAGCTCCCTGTTTGATAGGATAAACAATATGTATAACGACTTTAGTGGAAAATAGGAATGGAAATAAAAAAATCCTTCAACTTACTTAGGTAGAGCTTCCCTGGTCGCATTGGTGACGAATTCTGAGATTCGATTATAATTTGAGAATGGTCCACAGTGCCATGAGGGACGTAGCCATACAATAGCATAACTCACCGGCAGCACACAGAGGAAGAGCATCGTGAGAAGTAGAGCGAGGTAGAAATTGTTAGACTTGGATGCCCTGTTTGATATAGACATGATCATGAGTTCGAATATTGCAGGTAC